TACTGTGGGGGAGAGGCCAGCAGCTGAAAGTTGAAGCTTTGAGAGTCAGCATAAAGTTCATGGGTGACCTCTCAGCTATAGAAACTAGGACTACTGGGAAGCAAAACACCATTGCTAATATTGCCTTGAGGCACAATGATTGCACTATGTGTCTACACACCTCAGAAAGAAAAAACAGGTGATTTTGTAGGCTGTAAAATGCTTTGCTTGCTCTCTTTCCAAACATAATGTGTTTCTATTTATATGGCAACCTCATGTTTTGAATAGAAAACTGACAGGTAAATAAATGGATAGGTATTTGATTACCCTGTATCCTTACAAAAGCTTGGTTAGGATTTTGCTAGTATTTTAACTACTTATGTGGTAGTCCAAAAGATGTAATTTGCAACCACTTCCTACCTTCATCTGCTGCATGGAAGAGTTTTCATCTCCCCCAGTACTATACCAGTACAGGATGTCTAACACATGTAGTTACTGTGACATATTTCTCATTTCAACTGCAGTACAAACATCAGTTACAATAATTCTACTTTCTGACAGGATTATGTCTGAGGACATAAAACTTGTCAGGCTTGCATTTATGTTAAGAAATAACACATACATACTTTGAGGCTGTGAATTAGTTCCTTACAGCAGAAAGCATCCCACATTGGCTCAACAGTCCACATTAGCAGAATTTAGAGATCTCTGGTCAGCTCTTACTGTATAAATATACAATGAATTAAACTCAAATTAAACAGGAATCTTATCTGCACTCCACAGAAGCATGATGGGTTGGGCTCACTTTTGTCACATACTTTCCCTTCTGATTTGCTGCTACAATAACTCAGAATGTTTAACCTGATCATGTCTTTAGCCATAGTTACATACACTCAAGTTTAAGAAATAAGTTGGAGATAAGAATCCTTGGACTAATTTTAACTGACTGTAGCAAGTGATTCATAAACTCAGTGAGTGTTCCACATAGTTCTGATTACTTCACTTCATATTATTAGTGGAAATATACATATACAAGCAAGAGACAAATCATTGTATATTTTGTTGCAAAATATAATTTAATGCAGACAGATGCATCTGCATTTTGCAGCAGCTTCCACTGAACAGGAGCCAAGTACGTTTCCTTCTTGGCCTCCTTTTCCTTCTGTTTTAATTTTGTGCAGTACTTCTTAATTTTTTTGCTTCTTCTGATATCATGTAATATCTAAATGAATGCCCCCTAAATTAGCTTTTCTCCTTACACAGTTATTTTCAAAATCATGTAGCTGCATGTTTCATATTCCTAAGGAACAGAAATAATGTTGTTTCTTAGAATAGTATTCTACATTCAAGCTTTCACTGTATTCACTACAGCTTTCATGCATTCACTTCAGATCTTTCCAAAGAAGTATGCCCATATGAAGTGAAATACATGCCCAGTTTACTAGAACAGAGTTCATCAAGAAAAGAAAGCAAACACAAACACTTGTGGGGTTTTTTTACAGTGTGGGAATTTTGATTTGCTTTGTTTTGTAATAAATTATTAAGGTGCAGTAGGGTCTAAGTCCCAAATCCGCTCCAGAAAAAAACCCCACAACTTCAAATACCAAGTAGGCACTACATCTTGGATCTACAAGGACTGGATGCTTGTTGCTTCTAGACATGAAACTTGCTGAAGGGTACTGGGAACTTCTCACTGGCCTTGCAAACACGGTATGGAAATCACCAGTCTGAACAACTGATCTTGCTCTTCATCAGCCTGTTTAGGTGCATTTCATTATATCTGAAGGGAATCAGCTAATCTAACAGGCATCATTTTATCTTTATACCCATATAGCAAGTATATCACTGCTTTTCTTTAGAAAAAAATGAAATATTATTTTCCTTTCACAAATCAGGATAATCCAAATTTGATCCAAACTCTGGATCAAAGTACTGATGAGGGGAAAAAGAAGGCAAAATTTAGTTCATATGTCAGATAAGGGGAAAGGTGACTGTTACCTGCTATAGAAAAGAGAAGCTGACCATCTTACATCTTTCTGTTGTTTCTCAAGATCTTACACAACTACAGAAACAATTATTTAAAACATAAATACACCAGCATGAAAACAGCATCTTCCAGCAATATAATAGAAATTATTTTATTACTTGAAATACATGCATATCTAATATGCTGCAAGAAAGACTTAAGAAAATGTTAGAAGTTAATTAATTTGTCACAATTTACAAGTTTTTTATATTTGGAAGTCTGACTCAACGTTTAATAAAAGAAAATCCTGAAAGGCAGTTTGGCTTTCAAGGGCCATATAGTGAGAGTTCCTACAACTGTATTTCCAACAGATCCTTGAACAAAATATTTCAGCTCTTCCACAGAAATTACTAGCTATAGCAATAATAATTTTAAACAGCAATAAGCAATGCAAAGACCTGCCAAATTAAAACAATGTGCATTGAGATTTAGTTGAAAAATTGAGGAACAAGAAAAAAAAAAAATTTCAGACACAGCTCATTCCCCCAGAAGACTTTGTTAAAATGTATAGGCAATTGGACCTAACAAGACTATTAAGAAATCTATGAAGTATTAGTACATGGCTGATGAAAAAGTAAATCCTCCTAAACCTGGATCTCAAAGTACTTTTCTCTCTATATGGACAATCCATTCCATTTTACTTATTTAACTTGTCAGTCTCCTAGAACAATGACTTTTACTTCTGTACTTGGACACTACTGGTATTTCACCAGTAAATAGGTATCACAGCAATACTTTTTTTTTAAATGGTGAAAAGAAGTAAAAAGGAATAAAATTATTTTAATAATGGTATACTTACATAGCATAAACTTTCATCTTAGTCCTGAAAAGGAGACTTCTATCAAAAAAAATCCAACACCCAATCTTAATTTTTATTACTTTTCCAGATACCTGTTGGTTCCTTGCAGCTATTTTGCTCCATTTTGCCTGCCAAGCAAGTCTTTACACAGCAGCAGCAATTGTCATCACCACCACTACTTATAATATGCATACTATATAGAATATGACAATTTCTAACCCCTGTTAAGTTGCTGGAATTCTGGAATGATTTTATGAAGTCTATTATTTGATGTCACTGAGATCATATTTTGGCCCTGTTCTTTCTCATGCCATTTAAGGAACACTCAACTTTCCAGCACAGTGGCACTTCACATATTCTGTTCCTTTCAGAGAGGTATGGTTTTACCATGCCACTGTTTCTATACATTGCTGCACATAAGCAGGTGACCTAATTTCTTGAAACAGAATGCAAGGTCCAAGAGTCTGACTCCAAACTGCCACGTACTTTTATGGGCTGGATCAGAGAATGTTCCAAGTTTTTTGCATCATTTAATGTCTTGAAGAGGTTCCTTTAGCCAGAACTGTTTGCATCCTGCATATGCCAAACTGAGTAAGGTTCCAGTGGTTTCCAAATGCAGGGACCAGAAATCTCTTGGCTTTTGAAATAAGAAATAAATAATTTAATCTACATGTTTCGATTTATACTGAACCCTTTAATATATTTTCCACTATTTAAATTTGAAATACAGGCTATAAAAGGAATTCTTAAAAATCACAGAAAATGGCAACGGAGAAATGTGACACTTTCTCCAGTTAACACCTTGCCTCTACACTCATTTTCTGGAGAGATGGGCAGTTTATTTCTTAAAGTAATAAGTTCACTTAGGGTATTTGCAAGGAACCCTAAAATATTTGGGAAAAGCTTCTATATAATCACATTTTAGAATTTAGGATTTTACAAAGTTTGAGAGTCTTGTTAAGTAAGGTGTGAATGTGGGTATTTCTCTTTGTTGTCCTACATCCGTGTTTTTTCTGAATTAGATCTCTAGAGCTGTGGTTTTCAGCCTTCAGTAGCAGAACCCCAAGTGCTTCAGGACTGCATCTATTAGTTTTGGGGAAGATTAATAAGAAATGGAAATCTGTTATATTTTGTTTTAATTTTTTTCTATTGGAATTGAAAACCAATGTTTTTAAGTTAACAGATTGTGAATGGTACTTTATGGAGTTTTACATCATTTAAAGGATTGGATTTTATTTAGACAAAGCATTTCACTGATAAAATGTCGTGCTCTCCTCTCTGTCATGCATTCTCCCATATTCTTTCTTCCCAATGTATCTTCAACAGGACATTTCACATTCCTCATGGTCACTTGGGTTAGGTGACCTTTATGGAGTCCACTTACTGTCTCCCAGTGGCTGGAGAGAGGTATCTGATGAGATCTACTACTGATGTGAATCATTAATTCCTAATGATAGGCTGTATCCAAACCCCATCCATGCTGTGTTTTAATAACCTGACAATTACTTTAAACAATTAGCAAAAGGTAGTTATTCTAAGTCACATAAACTGTTAGGAAATTAAAAAGTTGACTGCTTGGTGATGACCAACAATAGTGAGATGAACTTTATGTTTTAAAACATGACAGCCCACAAGCTGAAACTGATACACCCTGTCCTAAGATTTTTGGCAAAAGAGGAAAAAATTAGCTCATAAAAAATTACTCATTATAAAATAAGCTACTCATGATAAATAAATCTGACAAAATAAAGGGATTATCATCAAGTGATGTAAAGACAAGACACAGATTTCAATAGCCACAGATTTCCATTCAATCATCTTTATGCACATTACACACATGTAAAACTTTCTGGCATGGTAAAAGGCTTATTTGACAGAACCTCCATGGACCACCATGTATATTCTCTAAATACTGAAAATAAAGTTGTTTCTTTTTTTTTTTTTTTTTCAAGCCAACAGTCTAGTAGCAAATATTTATTTAATACCACTTCCATAAAGTAAATCTGGTATCCCAAAAGTAAATACCTTCTTTCAACAGCTGCTACAAACTTTATCACATAGCTGCTTGTAAATTAAAATCTCCTTTTTGTTATAAACTAACTCAGCCAAGGTTTGGCCAGCTGCTTATGCCTTTTATCATTTGTATTTGAGACAGCTTTTGGTAGTGGTGTTTGGGGTATTTTGTGTGCAACTTACTCAGAGATTGTGTGTTAACATCCCTTCTTCGGGTGAAATGTCTTCCGGGGAGATCCTTTGCCATGACAGTGGAGAGCAGAGTATGTGCAAATAGCAGAAGGAAACATGCAATCATTTTCTTCATCTTCATGAAACAGAGGGACATACAAGGATGTAAAACTGCAGTAGAAAAGAGACGGAGATAACTTCTTTGATTACATAAAAAGATGCATTCCAATCACATCAGTCACTCAGCAGCATTGCTTCCCTTCCATCACATACAGACGTGCAGACACACTGGCAACAAATAATACCTACAACTTCACTAAATAAAGTTTACATAATAACACAGCAGTTGGCAGTCCCTGCATACCATTTCTAAGTATTGTTAGTTAAGTCCATAGTCAACACTGACAACAATTTATAATAATCAAGTATTTTTAAAAGAAAGGAAGTTTGCTTCACTCAGCCTGTCAGCATAAACAGGTTTGAGGAGGGCACAAATATATTTTTGCTATTCTATTCAGTGCTCCTTTGGAATTTTTTTCAGAAGTTTAATGGTTCCTGTAGTCTGAGGGATTCTTGCTTCAGAAAGTCCTGGATAATTAAAATAGAGTGAAGAAAATGTATTTCAGAAACAGCAACTACAAATGTGAACTGGTGACAACTTATACGTACTTTTCAGAAGACAGTACAAGGTTGCTAACCTGAAGATATCAGTGTGAGATTAATCTTGTTTGCAGGAATAGACTCCTGAGGACTGGAAAGGAGGCCATAGGTTCTGGAGCAATTTTATCATACAGAAGAACAAACTGACAGACAAAATTCCCACATTAAGAGATAATCCCTGACCAGAAGCTTTTTAATGCATCATGAAAAGCTGTCTCTGACTCTGCGACAAACAGAAAACAAAGATTGACATCCTAGAGACTCATTTTCTGGCTGTGTTCCCCACTGGTGGCTTCCTCAGACAGAGGCTCCTTTTACACTCCCCCAAACCATTATTGTTGTGGTTGAGAGCATCCCACAGGAGCTGGATTCAGTCTTGGAGTGGGTGATATGATGAAACTTAGTAAAGAGCTCCCCTAGGTGTGCAAGAGATGGACAGAACTACCCATTTTCATAACAAAGAACTGTTTTAACTGAATCCAAGTGGAACTTCTGAAGCACTGCAAATTTTAACAGTAATTCTTGGTGAAGTAACTAAGACTTGAAAACAATTTTAACAGGGTCCAAACCTAATAGCAGATATGTAACAGAAGGCAACTAAATGCTTCAGTTCTGAAAGACAATGAATTTTATTTCCCACCATGAGCTATTCAGAAAGGAAAATTCTGAATAAATATTTTCTCTCTAATAAAGATATTTTGTTCATTATTTTTCAGTCTTTCCCATGCAACCATTACACCTAATGTATTTTTCGAACTACCAATCTCTTTTTCCTTTTGTATATCCTACTCAGCAGCCCCAAATGCAGACACAACATTCTGATGCATATGTCAAAATGAGTCTTTGCACCCAAAATGCCCAGCCTTACTTCAGTGTTCAATATTATCCAGTAATGGGCAATACACGATTTAAGGACATTCGAACTAGGAAAGAGATGGAAATAGCTGGTGTTTATAAAAATGGCCACCAGAAAAATTTAATTTCTGGACATCTGGATGGTATTATTGCTAGAGTTTTTCCAGAGTTCTAGTCAGAAACAGATGAGCACTGGAATCAGCACACACCACTGGAAATGGGACTATGTTTCGCTGGAGGCAACAGTTGTTACATCTGAAGATCACCAATCCCAGGCAGTCTCTTCACTCCTCAGAACATCAACACAGACAGGGATGTGCCAGGGGTCTCCTCTTGCTCAGGCCTGCTCATTCAGCACACGAGGCAAATGGACTTCAAGGATACATGCCAATTCTAGCACTGATGTTTTAGAAAATCAAAAGCCATGATCTCAGGGCTAAAGAGAATAGAGAAATATCCTCCTTGCAAGGCTGTTACAGGAACTAGGCATGAAGTGAATGCTCAAGAGGGCTTTCTGGCTCTTAACTACTTATCAGAGAACTAACTCATCCCTCCTTTCTATCCACCCTAAACAGCTGTGAAGATGGCACTAAACTCTAAGTAAAGCCATTTTAGCTGTGCCTGATGGCACGTTAAAGAACCAAGGACAATGTGGCAACATTGCTAAACAACCCAGTAACAACATGATGCCAAAGGAAATGGCAGTAATGCAGTGTCTCAGTACAGTCCCACCCCAAAATAAACCCTCCTACATTCTGACATTTAACATATTTTATACCTTTGTAGCAATTTTTGATATTTGGTCATAGTTACAAATTCACTACACTCACAGCTGTCCATAAGCAACTCCAGAAATAAGAAAAAAAAAAGGGTTTGTTGTGATTTTAAGTCTTTGAATTCTGTGAGGAAAATGTTTACATAGCATACAATATATAATTAGCTGACCATATAAACTGAGTTGTCTCCATAATCATTCATTACCTGTCATTGAATTCTGAAATACATTAAAGCAGTATATTTTCAATTCAGTGTAATTTTACCAGTCTCTTTGAAAAGTAAGGTTGGGTTACTAAAGAAACAGAACCACTGAATAATATATTGTTCAATAGTACTTACTTTGCATTCAGAAACCTTAGATCCTCAGATCTCAATATCTCTACTATTCTGATAATCAGAAAATAAATCTACTTAGAGATCCACAAAAAGGATCCAACTCTTGCTAAAATAAAATCTACTATGAACACACTCCTACCCTCATAAACAGTGTTTTAAAATACTGTTTCAAACAAAAGCTATACTTAACAGCAAAGAGATTCAATTGCCTCATCTTCAAAAAAAAAACCACAAAAACAAAACAACAACATATAATCTAAAATTAAAATGTAAGCAAAATTGCATCTATTTTCAATGAGAAGGAAAAACCAAACAACCCCAACCCCAAATTCCCAAAGCCAAAGGCTGTATATGTGATAGCATACACTGATCCAAGCCTGCTGTCACCCCTTCATCCACATTGAAAGCTTCTGTGCTGCTTTCCTGGGGTGATGACAGCCTGGACTTGTGTGCTTTGCTCTAGTTCCAGGTGCATATTTGTGTCCCTGCTGCTTGCATTTTTACATGACCGGTCTGTATGGTGGTTGCATGGCTGCTCCACATACAGTCCTCCCATGGTTCTCTGTTTATCGTCTGGGCCTTTGGCAAGGTCTCCTGTTTTCACTCTTAGAAGCTGGATGGTGTTTACTGCACCACATTTAGGATTTAACACCTCATTTTTCCAGCAGGCTAAGCCCTCCTGCCACAGCCCTCTGTATCTTCCTTGGTTAACCCTTGCCCTACCAGATGAGAACACATTCCCAAAGCATCAAACTTACAAAGTCATATTTTTATAACTACCTGGGGAATATATTTTGGGCACTTTGATTCCAGCTGTCAGCACTATAACATTGGGAACCATTTCCCCTGGGCAGACCCAAGACCAAGGCACTGCAAGACAAACATCCTGAACAGCTAAAAAAAAACAAAAACAAAAACAAAAACAGAACAAAACCCCCCCGAAAACAACAACAAAAACAAACAAACAAACAAACAAACAAAAAAAAAAAAACAGCAAGAGGCAGTTTGGCAGTCCATGGGGCTCTACCAGGCTGAGCACCAGATTCATCAGCTTTCACTGCTCCACTCTACCCACAGTGAGAGGATGAAGAGTAGGGCTTTCACAGCAGCCTTGGAGCACTCAGTGCAGCACAGTGCTGTGCTGGACATGTGAAGAAGCTGCTAACAGAGAAGAGACAACTGCTGCTTACAGAGGTATAATCTGGTGAGGGCTGCTGGATGTATGGCTGTATCTGCAGATGTCTAGAAGAAATTTGGCATAAAAGGAGATTCTCCCAGAAGATGGCAAATAAGCAGACAGGCTCTCTAGTCTTTTCAGGCTTTCCTCATTCCCTAACTGGCTGCTAGTCAAGAGCTGGATATTGGAATGGTGTGTTCTTATCAATTTTACCTGTGCTAGCTTAGCCATATACCCATACATCAGAGTAATTTTTCTGATGCACTGTTATGGACTTTCATGAACCATGGTGCAGGAATACTAAAAAATAAAATTGAGATTTCATCTTTAAAATACCTATTTCCTTTGTTGGACAGCAGAAACAATACAAGCCTGTTTCTGTGTTTTCAAATATCTTTCCACGGAAGTCTCCTTGTAAGGGATTGATGGCTGTTTTGGGCAGAGACACCACTGAAAATTCAGTGTCAGTGGTAATAAATCAGTGAGCTTCTCCCACTGCCTGTTGCAGGTTATTAATATTTGTCCTCTTCACTGTGATAACTCTTAAATAATATCAAGGGGAAAGAGATGCTGTGTAGTTTATACCAAGTCAGTGTCCTTCCATCTCTCTTACCACACTTCAGGAAAATTTCTTTACAAAGAAGAAAACCCCTCCATTGGCCTGGAAGATCACCTTTTTTTTCACTCAAGAACCTTAAAATGTACCTGTCTTTGCTGAGCAGATCATGCTGAAAAACAAATTGGAAAACAATGGTAGTAAATATGTTTCAGCTCATACCTTCTGCTCCTCTATATGGTCTCCCTCCTTGTCTTGTAGTACAAGTTTCCTTCCAAGGCTAAATCAGAAACATAAAATTCACAAATCCCTACATCTCTACCTTCTCCAGCTACCAACAAAACTGGCACAATACACAGAAGGGGAAATACTCAATAGTTACATGGGACATCAACACCTGCAAACAATGTCCCCTCTCTTGAACCCTGTAAAATTTCTCATCATAGATGGGAGGGAAACAGAAGACAAAAAAGCACCAAAGGCAACAGGTATTAGCACTACAGAGGTTGCCTTTGGCTTTTCTTGTTTCATAGTTAAAAGAGACAGCCATTTACTCTCATTAAGCTTCCAACAGATCTAATTTCTGTGTTTTTACATTATAAAGAAAAAAAGTGCTTAGAAGGGAACCATTCTGAAGTTCTTCCAGCATTCCTTATTATCTCCTCATTTTTAAGATAACAGGAACCTGTGATCAAATCAAAAACTTTCACTGAAGGTAAATGAACTGCAAGCAATCTATGTGAGTCAATAAAATCAGTCTGTTTCCTCAATTTAGCAAACATGGTGAGTTACTTGGAAAAATAAATGAGGTCTTATTACATGAATGCCACAAAATACCTCATTCTCAATCCCATCATCTCAGCATCTCAGAAATTTAAAAAAAAAAAAAAAAAAAGGCTGCAGGCACTGTAAAGCCCTTTTAACTATTAGTTACAATATATGCCAAAGTACTTCACTATCCACAAGCCAGCACATGCATTACTAGTTCGCTACTCATTAAAATCACTGTGTAGCATGGGCATCAGGACACAGAGTGTTAGTAATTTCCTCTGTCTTTCTGGACCAGTTGCTGACACAGGCATTTTCCAGTTCTAAAAAAGAGCTATAGAGGCTTACAGAGTCCAACATCACAAAACATCATTATAAATCCTATATATATTATGTCCCTAGCCATGTAGGTATAGTGTGGGGGCAGGTGGCCACAACTGGGAAGGTGATATTTAGCACATCAGCAAAAAGCACCATCTTGTCTTCATCATTACAAAGGAGTACTCTACTGTCACCCTGTTTCACCAAGTGATGGACTGGATTTTCTGTAACTCTTTGCTGCATAAGGAAGGCTTCACTGGGCTTAGCAGCACAGCACAGGTAGACACCTATTCTAAATCATGACTATTAACTGCATTTCACCAATAGAGTTAGATCACCAAGAAGAAACGAGGATGCAGATGCTGTAAGTTTGTAAATTCCTCACATGCTGCTCAACCCTGATGCCAGGCACTAGGTGCCCATGAACCTGGATGCCCATGAACTCTCAACTGCACCCTGTCCTGCTGTCCATGTCCATTAGAGAAATACTCACTTGCTAAAATATGTTTTACATTAGAGCAATACTCACTTGCTAAAATATGTTTTAGCTCCTTTTAAGAGGCTACCTTGGGCCATTCATGCTGTCAGTAGTATGAGATAAATCTGGGAAACTCATTATCTGAAAGTCAATTAGTAATTCTGGTGTACTCTGAGACAGCCAACCCAATTACAAACAGCTTTCACAGTAGTGCAGCAAGCCACCACAGTAACAAAAGGAACTGTTGACTTGGCAGCATCGGTCTTGTATCAATCTGAAATAATGAGTGTCCAGACAGTATGAATAACCTGAACCTGGACGGGATTTAGGACCAGAACTTGTGTACTCCAGTGTGAGAAGACTGGGACAAATTCTTTGCATGGGTCCATGAAGCTTCATGGCCACAGGTTGTTGTTTTGTGTCTGCAGTAGGGCACAATCCCAGCTTGTGATAGCAATGTCTGTTCCAGACATGTCTGCATAGCGGTGGGGACAAGGTGACGAACACAGACTCACAAAATCTTCCACTTTTGTCTCCTATGTTTCCATACAGTTCTCCTCATCCAGCATATATCCCTACCTTGGCAACTAAAAGGATATTCCAGTGCTTTCTGTACTGAGAGATGCCCCTGCCTTGCATAGGAATTGGGCTGCAGCTGAATCGCCACCAGTACCTATTTATTCCAGCTGCTGCTAAAAAATCCCACAGCAGAGTTGTAACTTGGACTAATAAAATCAAATGTGACAGTGGAGTAAATTAACTTTGATTTTGAAACAGTACAGGGAAGACCCAAAATGCATTACAGAGCAGTTCCTAGAAGGGGAGGTGAGTGACATTTGGTAATCAGCCAAATATGCCCACAAACCCAACCCTGTACACAATACCCATGTGCAGAGCATAACCAAAGGTGCTACAGGATACAGGAGGGCAACCACATTCTGGAAGCTGTCCAAAGAGTGCTGGAGAAAGGACAACTTGCCTATCCAAGCACAAAGGCCAGATAAGCATGCACATGAATTGATGAGTTCAGATACCAAAATATACAGCATATCAGAAAGAGCAGAGATCAGCATTCAATTTTATTGTCAGATGTAAATATCATAGTGGGACTTCCACACAACAGACTTCGTTATTTAATGGGCTTAGAGTATATGTACTACATATATAATTTAATTTTCTACAGCTCTGATGAAATGAAGAAGACTAAGGGATCTGTTGCTTAATTTAAAGCCATCCGTCTGAATGACATATCAGACTTTCTGATATCACTGTTGTAAAATTAATAACTTCTAAATCATATAATGAAAGAATGATTTAGGTCAGAAAGGACCTCTGTAAGCCATCAGACCCAACCCCTGCTCAGAGGTGAAGATGAGGACCATTTCAGTAAGTTCTCACCACATAAAAGTTAATGGTGGTGCTACAGAACAGTATACCCATAGTATGGTTTACTCTGCATAGTTTCCAGTGGTCAGACAGCAAGCTCTAGCAGTGGGAATTCTTATTTTATGACAGCATCAATCTCCATGCCATGATTTTCTTCAGTTGCCGCTTGGACAATAGACCTTTTCATTATCTTGTTCTTTTGAGAAAGACTCATTTGCACTTTCTGGTACTGAATCTCATCTAGACATCAGAGTTTCCACAACATGCCCAGAAAAGTAGCATGGGAAAGCTGAGAAAATTCACTTTTACCATGCACAGGAGGTGTTTAAATGAAAGCCTATATTCTATGACATATTATACACATATAGGCTGCCTAGTTTTGTCTCTGAAGTAGTCACAAACCACAACAGACTTAACTGAAAACAGAAAGGTTTGGGGGAAAAAGGGCTACAGCAGTTCTGAAATTTATTTGCAAAGTCACACTGACCCCAGTACCAGCACCACTGTAAACCAATAATTTGGGGGATTAAACCCACTCCATTCCAAACACTCTTCGCTCATAATGAAAACACTGAGTACACTGTATAAAAAGAGCTTGTTAATGATACCCACAATACAATTAAACAGTGCTTATTGTTTTACCTTCCTATGGAGATGGTTTGTAAGTCGTGAGATAGTATTTAGATCTGATTAGCCTTTCTGAAGTTTGCCTGGACTGACTAAAACATCTTTTACCATCACAGCTGGGCCCCTGAGTCCCAGCTCATAAGCAGTAGAATGTGCATTCCCTTGTTTGTGAGAAATCCCAGTGAAGTCAATGGAAAGACTCACATAAAGTAATTAGGTGTGAATATAGAGTGCAGGATTAAGGATCTTAACGGCAGCTTTGTGTAACTGAATGCTGCATTTTCGGAAGATATAAAGGAAATCAAATTTAATTTGATGACTAGCACAGGGATATACATTATATGAGGAAAAGTTTAGAAAATCTCATGCTTAAAGCTGAGACATCTACATGAAAAGTGTAATACTCCAAAACTATTTTGTAGATTTTGTAGGATTTAATGGAAAAGCCCTATGTGTATTTTATTTAGCTCTTCATTTAGGAGAATTTTTGATGGAATACAGTTTGATAATTTCTTCTGAAGTAGTCAGCTATCTGACAGAAGCACAGCTATAATATGTAACACAACATGTCACCTTTTCAGACCTCAGTCAGAATCACTCACCCTTAGTACAATGGTCCCAACAAGCAAACCCAAGCACTTAGGAAGTATTACATAAATCAGCAGGTTGCATTCTTCTCTCTCAGTCAATAATATTCTACAGTTTAGCAGTGATACAGGCCAGTTTGACACAGAAAGAACTGTCTCTGAAACAGGAATACATGGTCATTAAAGATGCCATGATAATTTTTGCCACATTAATGAGCACCATCTCAGCAGGGTTTCCAGAGTAAGTATATTACATTCAGCAAACCGTCCCTCACTCCTTCCACCTCCAGCAAACGCAGGGCTCTCAGGAAGCCCGGGCAGCCCCTGCCCTGCACGTCCCAGATGAGCCCTGCAGCGCAGAGCTACCTGTGGGCTTAACCCTGGCACGAGGAGAAGCACCAGCTACAAGCTGGTAAAGACACCTGCAGGCTACTCTCGAACATGTTTCTAAGCAAAGTTCGGTTCCGATGCTACACTGATCTTACAATACACTGGAGGGGCTTCCTTACCGCAGATGCACTGTTAAATGAGTTACTGCGGCATGCAGGGAGGGGAGGATAAATGAAGTTTGCTCAGACCCACGCAGTCCAAAGAAAAGGGAAACCCTTCTCCTGCGGGGTGCACCACGAGCAGCAAACCGCTCCAGCGGCACCCAGCAAGCGAACATCCAACGCAGCCCCTGACGCCGCCGCGGCCCCTCGCCTCGGCCTCCCGCTCCCCGCCGGGCCCGCGCCGCCCGCGCTGCAGCCCCCGCCGCCCGCGGGGCCTTCCCGGCCGCCCCCCACCCGGAGGGGCCCCCGGGGCAGGGCCGTCCCTCCGCCGAGCCGGGGCCCTGGGGCGGGGGGGGCCGCCGGCAGTGCAGACCGGGCATGGCAGCGATGCCGAGCTCCGCCGGGCGGCGCGGGACGCGGCGGGGTGCGGTGCCCCCGGGCGGAGCGCCGCGGACCCGCCTGGCGGGCGAGACGAGGCGGGGCAGGGCAGGCGGCAGAGCCGGGCTTACCTGAGGGGCTGGCGGGGCCGCTCCGCTCGGCGCGGCAGCGGCGGCGGCCGGGAGCGAGCGCGGAGCCTCCTCCCCTCGGCGCGGCCCCGGACGGCGCTCCCCCGCCCGCCCCTCGGGAGCAGCCGCCTCCCGCCAGCCCCGTCCCCGGCGGCAGGAGCGGCTTAGCGCCGAGGGGAAGGAAAGCGGGGAGTCCCGCTGTGGAGACACTGGCTGCCCTGCCCAGACCTCCAGAGCCGGCGCGGCGCCGGGAGGCCGCGGAACGAGCCGCGGAGAGCCGCGTTCCTTCTCAGCCGCCTCTGCCGTCAGGGACGCGGTGCTTCGCTCCTGCCCCGCTAAGGGGTATGACCTGCCGGCCCACACTTCCCGCCTGCCCCGTGTATGGGACCCGGGCTGTTCTCCCGCTCCCTCACGCCTGCCAGCAGGAAAGAGAGGGAATCGACGGCTCTTGCGGGATACGGGCTGTCGGCCCAGGCGTTCCCGCTGGTCCCGAGGGACGCGGACCCGCTCCCTCCGGCCAGCCCCGTCAGGGACAAGGGCCGCCCGTCCCTCTGGGCTCCCGGGCGCGGCGGCCCCGGCCCTGCCCCGCCGCCCCGCGCACCTCGGCGCCGCCGCTGGTCCCTCCCTGGCAGAGCTGTCCCCGCGCTCGGGCGGGCAGAGAGGGGAGCTCCCGCAGCCCCGGGAGCAGCGCCTACTCCGGCCGAGGGGGCTCTCCCGGAGGGGGCCGTGGGTTCCTGCTAGAGAAAAGCGGTGTGGTTTCTGTCTAGCGGCTCAGCGCATCCTTCCCCGGCCAGCGCCGTGCTCCCCGGGCCGCAGCCTTCCAGGGAAGCCGACCAAGGGAAACGTCGAGGAATGGAAATCCCATTCCCCGGGCGCAGGACCCGCGGGCCAAAGCAAACAGTCCCTGGTGATTCATGCGGTGTCTGCCACCGCGGCGAACCGGTGGGAGTCTCCGTCGGGGAAATCGCTGAGGGAAGCGTGAAATAAGCTGGCCAAGTAGCTCGGACCGTCGTTTCTTAGCTGACACAGCAGCGGCGCGGTCTGTAGTCCGGGCTGGAAAAGTAAGTGTGGGGTTTATATCAACACTTACGGTATTATGTATGAAGAAGAAAATACAAAATTCCTGCTTTGTTCCCAAGGAATTGTGATTTCTGTTTCCTGGCAAACAAACAAAAAACAAAAAAACCAACAGAAAGTAGCAAGTTTTGTAAGGAACAATTAATTGCCTGTGATGTGGGTGTACAAAATCTAATCTCTAAAAGGAAGCATACAGATAACAAGCAAAACTGGAAGTGGTTGGATTCGCCTTATCTTTAATTCTGAGCACTGGCTCCTGAACCTTTCCTGTAGCCAGAGAAATGGGAAAAATTAAAAAGACAGCTGAGCACTGATAGACATTATAGCAAACCCAGCAGGGCCAAGTGCAGAACAATTCACCCATTCTTGTCTCATCCTTGTAAGGTAGCATAGGATGAGGCCCCAGTCATGGTGCTAATTAATGCTCTGCTGTCTGAAAATACAGAAACCATACTTCCATTTCCCTGTGCTGTGGATTGAGGCATCAGCTGAGTTACCAGAAGAAGACAAAAGTCAGGAGAAAATGTTGTGACAAGATCATGTGGGAGCCCAGAGGAACTCTGGTGGCTTTAGCTCCAGTTTATACATAAGAGAGCCCATCACTAGTGCTCTTCCCAGAGGCCATGTGGCCTGCTGCTCTTGGCAGGTTGAACACATGAAGGTATCCCAGTGGGAGACTGGAGGAAAGGATGATGGCAGCAAGTCAGCACAAAGCATCTTTTTGTTTCATAAGATACATCCTAGAAGACAGGGGACTTTTATTTTACTTTATTTGACTTGGGTATTTATTTATACCACGCCAGAAGTACTGTGTAATCCCCACTCAAAATCTCAGTCTCTTTGTCGCTTGTCCTTTCTCAAATGATGAACTTCTGTCCTCCATTCCCATCATGTGGCTTCTTTTTGATTTGGGAGAGCCGTTGTCCAATCTGTCTACATTTGATACAATGGGTAGAGGAAGATTGGAAGATGTAAAGTAAGGAAAAGCTGGAGGCTTCTATCAAACCACCCTTTTACATGCAAAAAATCAAAAATCTGGCCAGAAAAAAAAAATCAGGCAATTATTAAGTTTCATGAAGACTGCTAACTAGGTAACTGGGATTTGAGTCCTTTACTGTCTTCTCAAAATGCCTGGGGTATTACTCTCAGTCTGGAAGAAGTGATGTAGGCTGTTCCTCAGTTGTCACAGGCAACAACTTAATATAAAAAACACATTTCAGAAAGTAGATTTTACATTATAAGCAGGTGCTTTAAGTAAAACAGCAGTGAATAAATTTTCCTCCTGCTGTTAGAGGACTGTTTCACACCTTCACGGTAGTTAGACACTTCTTACTAATTTCCAGTCCTAACGTATTTATAGCCTTTTTGAATTTATTTCCTAGTATCAACATTGTCTTTAAACCTAATCTCATTTTGTCCTCCAAGGCTTGCCTAGGGCATTTAGTGGCAGCAATAATTTTCTTTTTCAGCTTTCACTCTTGTTTCACTCAACAAGTTCTTGCTGTATATGTGGCTCCTGAGAGGGTGTGCAGCAAAACTAATCATGATGCACCATGCAAGCCCTCTCCACTTCTGATGTGGTCAAGGATTTCATTATAATTTTAAGTGGCCACAGCACCACTGATGGCTGATGGTCAGTCACCTTTATGTTCAGTTTATATATACAGCTGCACCAATACATGGTCTTGAGTGTCTCTTCCAATCTTAATGATTCAGTAATTCTGTGATTTTATATTATGGCATTTCATCTCTCTTCTAGTTGTTTACTTTTTTTGTTTGTTTCCAAATAGCATTCCTAATTGTACTTATTGTAGATATTAAAGTAGATGATTGATTTTTCTATCCTTGAAGATTTTATTTATCTGACTGTGAGTGAAACTTTTCCTTTGGCTTGGATTCAGTGGCAGTATTAGAAGTATCCTTTCACTACCTAACCAGGTTTAACTTAGCTACAAACCATTCCAAGATTACTACAGGTCTTCTGTAGCATCTCATGCCTTTTTTTTTTTTTTTTTTTTTTACTGCAGTTTTGCTTTTATGCTTTTTTCTGTGAAATATCATCTTACATTTGAATGGATTTTCCAGATATTTAGGGGCAAGGAGAGTTGATTTTTTTTTCCTCAGCATTACCAGGTACACATTAAATGAAGCTATTCTATACCTACAATATCATATCTACTACTATCTAGTAGTATTTTCAAGAAACCTTTTATCATTCATCCTTTCACTACAGCTTCTTTTTCAAAGTTTTCTTCCTCTTCAGTCTTCTAAAGCACAGTGATTGGTGCAGAGCCAAAATAATTGGCAAATGCTACCACCACCACCACCAGTGATTGTACTAAAAAGTCATATTTTGGAGAGTTCCTAAGGTAAAGTTTCTTGACTTCAGGTAAAAGAGAAGATTCATCATATGAGGCTATAACTTAGAGATGCTGAACACCATCCTTGGACACTTTTTTGGTCCCTTCCTACCTAAATTTTTCCATAATACTGTCATTCAGTGCATTACTCACAAACCTGGTAATAGAACACAGGATTGCTTAGGGAAACAGATTTTGTCAAAATAACCCTTTTTTCTTTCTTTTTAATGGGCTATGAAAGGATCGATATGAGGTTGAGTATAAACATTATACACTTGGACATTTCTTAGGCATTCACATAACACAAAATTTTGACTAGGGAGCTACAATGCTGCAGCAATAGCTTTGCACATATGAAATAGATTGCAAAACAGATGATAAATCTCAGCTGTATGTAAGCAAAGAATACTTTTTACGTGAGTGTGTTTCAAGAGAAACTCTGAAAGGATAAATTTTTGAATCTGTAGTTCTTCAAATTCTTTATCCACAACATTAAAGAAAACATATTCTATTTTGGCTACACTTTAAACCTCTGAATAATTCAAGCAGAATGTTTAAAAAACCTTGGAATGGGATAGCAAAGAACTGAAAGAACCATTAGAGAACTGGAAAATATGCCATCCAGTGAAAAACCCAGGAAATGCAATGCCTTTAATAACTCAGATTTAGAAGGTGACTTAAAGACACCATATAAATAAGTATATAAAGAACAAAACTTCAATAAAAGGTGTCTTCAATGGAGCCAACAGAAACGTAATAGCACTTAATGATAGAAACCTGCAGATAGAAAAATCCTACTAGAAACAGGCTGGTTTATCTAAATCTCCGTCCTTCAGATTTTATAACATTTTGTAAGGGACTTTTTTTCTCCTTTGCATTTTTTTGACTAATAAAGAAGTGCTATTGTAGGGCAATACATAAATTAATGCAGAAAATAACCAGTTTAGTGTGATTCTTTATCTTTCTGTATATTAGAGACGCAAAAGAGATCTTGTATTTTAATTCCAAAAGTGATGCCTAGAGAGCATATTCAATGGTTGCCCAACCTTCAAATTGCTCAGTTTCACTGCTCCCTTGGTGCCTACAGTTCTACATTGCAAACCACATTTTCTCCAACCTGTGGAGCTGGGCATTCACCTCCTGCCTTGTCCCCAGAGGAATCTGGTATGGAGAAAAACACCAGTTTGTACAAGGCTGATCAGTCTGGTGCCCAGCTCATGCACAAGCTCCCTGCAGCTGTTTGGCTGCCTAAGTTCCCCACATCACAACCAGAAATCTACACCTCACAAAAAACAGAGCTGGCTCCTAGTGTTTTTTGCAGGACAGTCTGAAGTGCAGGTGTGGCATGGCTGCTGCTAACTGCTGTTTGCACAGGGGCTTGGAGCATCTGTCCTGGACGAGTGCCTGAGAGCAAGAACAGGGTGACCAGCACAAGGTCTCATAGAGAGCTGGGCAGACCTGCCAAGCCCCTGTGGCTCCCAAGGTCCTCTGCACAGCCCTGGCAGCAAAAACCAGACTCCTTGTCTTCTGGATGTTAGAACAGGATTGGTAACAAAGGGATTAACATTTACATTTCATTATGAACTTCATGAAGGATCAAGTTACTGGGATGATTTCCACAAACCTAGGTGTTGCAGGACCAAACTTTTAGGAGTCAAATATTTTTTAATGCTATGATTTCTTTTGAGAAACCGCCAAAACCTCTGAAGATACAATTAATTTTAAGATTGTGAATAATCTCTTTTAAATCTAAATTCAGTGCAGGGTTTGGTGCCTCCTATCATCTTCTCAAGATGGTTTATGAGTCAGACTTAACTGTGGCTCAGCATTCACAGCTGTACCATAGCCAAAAGAAAAGATGCTTCTAGTAATCAATGCCAAAGCTTTTGTTATATGCATATATATGTACATAAATATTCTGTATATTAATACGCATGATGTATATAATACATTTATAGTGTAGAATAACAAATTATCATAATGGCCTTTTAACAGAACATATTTCATCTGAGACACGCAGAGCCAGGCAGCATTCATTAATTATACTTTTTGTTTTAACTTTTTCTTTTAAAGATGTACTTATGAGTTTAAGTACCACACTCCTGTTGATACGTGCTAAAAGACAGTCCTTTTCCTTTTTAAAAAATAATATCATTTCTAAAGAGGAAATCAGAGGAAATCTCAAGCCAGGAGCCACATCAATGACAGATCAGGCAGGTATTTTTACTGCAAATGTTGCCACAAAAGCCCACAGGGATCTGAATGGGCTGATTACCCTTTGGCTGCTGGGCATCTGAAACACCACATTTTAAATGTTGATTTAAGTTTCT